CCTTCATTCTTGGAAATGGTCTCGAAAGACCTCCTGCAACACTTGTGACAAGGTGACCAATTCTGCAACAGTTGAGGGCAAAACGACCACTTGAGACTGTAATACCGCCTACCACAAGAAGTCTGCGAAATAGTTTTAGTGTTTCCCGAATTCCTGTGTGAGAGGCCAACAGAAAAATCAATTATCTTAATTCGGATGGAATTTGGAGAATGATGAATTTTCCTCTGGTGAAAACGACATCAGTTGAATTTTGACTTTTTTTCGCATAAATATGGAAGTTTCCACCTCGACCAACCCTTTTCTGCGTTGTCAATATTGATACAGTTGATATCGTCGTAGTAAGGGTTCGGGCGGTGTCAAGTGAGATGAAAAGAACCCACCCACGGGGTTCTCACCACTGGTTGTTTTCTTCCTGAAACGATCACTAACCGTTTACTATTGGTAGTGAAAGGCAACCGGTGGCGGACTCATCCCACCCCTCTTGACACCGCCTCGACTGATTGCGGCGATACCATGTACAAGTATGGATGCGCCGCACGTGCAATTCCCATTCGTTATCGCGCTGGCATTTGAATGCGGATTGAAACTAAACAAAAAAGCCGAACGAGTTACGAAAATATTTGCAGTACCCTAGTGGCTAAATGTCACCAAACGAACTGATGACAGATCATCAGACGGGGTTTACGCGGAGGTCAGTTTGTATGAAGGGGATTAAGTATGAGGCACGATTCTAGGCCGTACATGTGGCGAAAGCGCCAACTGTCACTGCTTCAGGATTGCTTGGAGCAAAAACAAAGAAATGCTCCAGTGGAACTGAGTAAGGGCTAGTGATGCCTTCTGCAGGAGCTTGGTTGGAGTGCCAGTGTGTTCGAACGCTGGGAGCTACCTGGGAAGTTCTCGATGCCTACAGGTGACTTCAAGGAACTCCATCCTGTCTAAATATTTTCTACGTATTGAATGGACCATTGTCGTCAAAACTGACTTTTCTTCCGCATTTTTCCTCTTTAGTACTTTTTTTTCTACTTTGTTGCTTCTTCCAGCTCTCAGCAGCGGGTCGGACAACGTGGTGTGGCGGCGGCGGCGGTGGCGGAATAGAGGAGGTCTAGAGGTCGAAAGACGAGCCAGTGGGCGGAGCAGAGTTGGGCAGGCGCCCAGCGGTCTTCGCCAAGCGTTTATGAACCCTTAACCTTTGTTTTCACTCGCTTTCAGCTTTATCGTGAATGTGCGTTTTATTTCGCAACTTTTGTGCTTTTTTTCCTCATCCTATTCTAGCATTGGCCCATTACTCCATAGTTTCCACAAAAGAGCTATTCAAGCGAGTAATGCACTGTAAATGTGACTCTTTGCCCTAATTAACTGAAAACCTGCATAACTCCCAAATATCAATTAGTAACACTGGCTTTCCCTTGTAAATTGATCCTTTCACGGTTATCCTTCCCAGAAAGCTACGGAATGCATTCCGGGTGCAGTTACGACAACCAGCTGCGGACTTTTTGGATTCATGTCTGGTAGCCTGCTAATTAATTTTCCGCTTTTTTGAGGCATGCCTTTCCCGTGGCTAGTGTGTCATGAAGAATTACTGCAAGCCAAAGTACACTTCTGCGGATCAATTCAGAATGCGCCACGTATTTCGAGCCCTGCTGTGACTTGTAGAAAGTTTGAAAGGGTCTTGGAGTGAAGGGGGAGGGGGAGGGTCTATACAGTGAATTGTAGCACGCAACCAAAACTCAGTCGAGGTCTTCGTACGCATATTTTTGATCATAACCGTGTCGGCCGGGGTGCCTTTGAGTCTTGAGAACCAAAGTTACGGGACTAACTGAGGATAAAGTGCCCTAGCCACACCTAGCAAGCATTGAAGATGTACTGTTATTCTTGTAGCAGTTTACTCACTACTTTAGCATCAAATCCACTCCTCAGCATCTCAGGTTCTTTTTAGGATCTTCTGCCCTTTAAAACGAAGCGCAGCTAGGCAGAGCTCCCCTAGTCTCGTCCTTTTCCCGGCAATGCAGCGTGCGCGTGGCTCGCTTCTTCCTCCCGTTGGTGTTGATTTTTGTCTTCTCAATGTCCTTCTTTCCTTCTTATTCTGTAGCCTCCATTTTCAGCACTATCCGCACGGTTATCGATCCAAAACATGACCATTGACCCCTGCCAGACAACTTGTACCACCTCTGCCCCTCTTAAATGCGATATCATCTAAAGACAACTAGTTCTAGATGGATTCGCATACCGCCAGCCTACCCTTCGATCACTAAATCGATTGAATGGTACTGCATTTTTCAGTTATTCCCTTCATTTTACCGTGAATTTCATGAGTTTCTCTCTATGGGTTCTCCTTTACCCAGTGAAGTAGTCAAATACTTTTGTTGAGGATCTAGGGCGAACTAGAGTGGCGAGATTTGGCGTGGCGCTAGCCCATTTTCCACCATCTGTTGTTTTCTGCCTTAGGTGGAGAACGGATTGACACCGACGCCGCCAAATTCAGCACCCTGACACGCCTGAGCGACCGCAGAGAACAAGACGGTATACACCCTGAGGAACCGCCAAGGCTGCCGGAACCTGACAGAAATTTCGATGTCCGAGGGTGTTATAGTTGGTCCCCTCAGGCTCTTCCTCTGAAGTATTCTCTTGGAATTCGAAGGCCTTCAGCTGATGATTTTTGACAACAAGTATCTCGAAGTGATGAATATGGGAGCGACAGTGGGTCCCGTCATGAACACTGTTCCCTTCATATCATGGTGTTTACGGTGATCAATCATCGTGGGCAATGGTTACAAGCATGTGTCACATTTTTTGTGGCCACGCTTGCTGGGAATACTTCCTGGTGGGTGCCTCAAGCAATACCGGGTATTATAATTTAGATCGGTGCGTCGGAACAAAGGCTTTTCGCAAATTTCTCGAAGATGGGAAATGGACTGAGATAGAAAAACTGGAGACGGCTCGTTTGAAAACCCCACAAAAAACGCATGACAGAATGGATTATGGGTATTAGGCGCTTTGTAATGGGCAGTGACATGTCGCAGTAAGCTAGGTACCTGTTTATCTCCTCTGAAATATGAGCTCATCTCTAGCAGAGTCTCCAGTAGTGAAGCCGGCGTGACGATCAATAAACGTTTCATTCTGATATTCTCGGAGATAGAAGGCTCGAATCGAGGTGGGGGGGGGTAATCCTAATTGGCAAACCATTTAGTACTGCGAAAACTGCAAGCACACGAATCGTGCTTGGGAACGTCTGGAAATCCCGGACAAACATCCCTGGAAACCTTCTCCATAGCCTTTTCCTAGTCCGAATCATGAAAAATGTCAGCGCTGATAATCTTGTGGGAGCAACTGAAAGAGTTCTGGTGCCAGACTAAAAGTACGGTAACGGAGATGAGGACATAAATGCAGGCTACAAAGATGCAAGGAGCTCCGGAGTCTGGTGAATAAGATTGAAAAGCGGCAATTCCTGTCATGCGCGAGGGTTAATGCTCCCAGTGATTCTCAATGCTCCTGATGCTCCCTTCTCAATGCTATTAGCGCTAAAATCTACACAGAGCTTGCGATAAGGACGATGTTGTCCGTAGCGCACTGGGCAAAAGGTGCAGATCTACTCATTGGGTATCTCAACCCGTTTCCTGAGCGGCGCTAGGCAGGTCCATTAGAAGGGCAGGCACAGTGTGTCAGGCTGGAGATGGTGTAGTGGCTAGTAGCCAGTCGGCCAATAAGTGATGGCGTTTTTTTCTTACGCAAATTTTTATGTGAAAAGCGATGAGTGTTTCCAATGTGTTTTGCGCTACTCGCAACAGTTGTCCTTTCCAGAAGACAGTGCAAGTGCTTTCCTTCAACCCCTTGATCGTGGTCGATTTTTTATTTCATTGTAATGGAGGGTGGGGTTTTCCCAAGAACTTCTTGCACCCTATCTCGGCTCTCGAATTACAAAAGAAGCTCAAAACTTATGGCATATATTATGACCAAGAAAAGATGACTACGATGATAGCTCGAAATTGATTCAAGCGATCAAAGGATGGGAACTCGGACTTTTTGGATGTCCATTGCATGGGGGGCCCCTTGGAGAGCGACAGCCCAGGCCTACTCACTAACTTTTGAAGGTCTAACATCAACTGAGTGTCATGCTTGATAATGATAAGGAAGCATTCCATACCTCCGACGGTTCCCCATTCTTTGGCATGAATTTTCATAAATGAGGTGATTCAATAAGATTTCAGTTGGTCTCAACAGGGCATTAGGTTCGATGCTTGTCTGTGAGGTCGAAATTGAAATCTTCAAATCACTTGAACCACTGTAAGTATTCTCAGGAGACTTAGCCTCTTGGCCATTACTTTATAGTAAGAGAAGTAATAAAAAAAGAGAGGTTGTGGAATACCGCCTCAGTTTTCTCTGAAACTCTAGTTTGAGCCACCTAAATAAGTGAATCAAAAATAAATATGGGGGTTATTTTGTAAGACATGGAATTCTCGCGAAACTTTTCATTTTCAGCTCGATATTTCGTGTGAGAAAAAACCTCATTACTTCTGAGCTAACCCAGTAGTATCGCTTCGCTATGGGAAGTGACCGAGTATCGTAGCGGATAGTCCTTGCCAATCGAGCCTTCGATCTATCCCGGGTTGACTGACTGATACTCCTAATACTCAAGGTCTCTGGGAGGAAAAAACGCTGACTTCTCCACCATTTGACTCGCAACTCATGTTGTGTATCGCCTTGACAATGTCACTACGATACCCGAATGTAGAACTCACAGAGCCTCAAGAAGGATCCGAGATTGATGGTAGGAAGGGCCGACGGTCATGACGGATTCCCCTTATAAAATCCGCTGTATCGCTCCAATAGAGTACGATATGCGTCTCTTGGTCAATCCTTCACAGACACACTGTGGTAATAGACGCGGTGGAATTTTCCATTGGCGGGCGGTGGTGTACGTGCATTTGCGTCGCGTTCTTAGTTAGCGATGTACCTAATTCCTTCATCCTTAGCTCTGAAGTTCCTTTAAAGGCACAGTTCGCGACCGCAAAGTTGCGGGAAACGGAACTCAAATAGGCACAAAAAGTGCTAAGTATCTGATTAGCGGAGAAAAGCAGCAGAAAAAGCAGTCCGAAATGTTATAGAGAAAGATAACATAGTGGCTACTAGCTAGTAGCTAGCAGCCGGTGAGGGTCGGCATGGGCCTAAGGGGTGTCCATGGGCCTAATTAGTCAGCTTCTAGCGGAGTTCTTGCCGTTTTTCACATTTTGAAAGTAGCGCAGCCTCAAAAATCGCCTTCCGGATCGTCCGACACATTTGAGAGGGAGGTCATAGCCTTATTTTTTCGCGGATGGTGCGCTTTAAACACGTCTAGTGGAACTCGGAGTGCGCGGTCGTACTCCAGAATACTGGCACTCGAGGTGCTCAGCCAGTGTGGTTGGGGGCTTTTTTTGCTAGGTAGTGACGCTAATGAAATAAAAAGCACTCAGCTTGGCCTTGTTGCAAAGCAAAAGGTCTAGCAGAGGGGGTCACAGCTGTGTGAGCCAGTGCATTTTTCGGATCAGTGTAGGTAAATTTAGAAAGCGCCGTTGATTGTTGCTGACACATCGATCGGTTTCGCTTCTAACTCGAGAGATCTTTCTCGAAGTGACCAGTATGGAGCTACCTTGGTTTCAGTTGTAGTCCGATTTTTGTGTTAATCGAGCCATATACACTCCTTAGCTACTGATTGTTTTGCATAGGGAGCCTACTCTATTTTACTATTTTACTACTATTCTTACTTTACTACGGCCTAACATTTTACTGTTCTTAAGTTAGTTTCAGCGAGGGCTTAACTAGCGAATCCTTCAGAATCAGAGTCGGCAGAGGGTTCCTGAATTCACTTTTCACCGGAACGATACTAACTTTCTGGGGTTTGTAAACACTCGTCCTTCTTCTTTGTTGCGTATGTCGTTGGGTGGTTACGTACACCAATGGCTTGTGCGTGTCAGTGTTGTCGGTACTTACCCGTATTACCTTTCAAGTTCAGGAGAATCTCTCGTCCTCGCGAGATGTTTGACCCCCTAAACGCAAATATCACATTTCTTTCGGTGTGGGTGTGAACGCGCCAGACGTGTGCTCTAAAGACACCGGCGCCGGATCAACTCAAATTTTGATCCGAGGTGAGAATCCGCGGATTGAATGGGTTCTTTACTGTGTCAGTCTGTAGAATCATCTGCTTCAGAAGCAGGGCCATCACGTCAAAAGCTCGTATGCTTGAGTTTCAGTGCTTAGGCATTCTGCACGGATAACTCTCTAAACCGCGAAGTGCCCCGGAGTGCTAATATCATTGAAATAAGAACTACCCACCCTATTCGTTCACTAGGGAGTCAGCTGATCACGAGCACGAGAGATTAACGAGCTGATAACTTTGACAAGTAAAGCTCAGGTTGGAGCGCGAAAGCGTGGAGGAATCCCCTACGAGAGGGGTAAGTTTCAAGAAATCCTTGAAAGTAAGGGTGCGAGATAGATGGAACTATTTCAATACGAAGTTCGAGGGGCAATCTAGGTTCTTGGGTCATTACCCCACTGAAAGTTCCTTTGAATTCATGTCTCTTTCCTTGCGGGTTATATTCCTGGACCTGTCTAGTTTCACTTTTCATATCTTCTTCAAGAATTCTTGATTTGAGCTTCTCTGTCAACTTCATTTCTGAAGTATTTTGGGAACTTTTTTTCAGTGGTTTTCCATTACCTCGGAGATTTGTTTGTCGCCTCAATTGCGTGTATTGCAGTCCTTTGACTTACATTAAAGCAATTTTTCAGGCGTACCAGTATGGAGACGCGGCCGACGCCTCCGCGTGAACAATGGAGTTCATGGGCAGATTTCATCATGAGTTGTATTGGTTACGCTATTGGACTTGGAAATGTATGGCGTTTCCCGTATCTCTGCTACCAGAATGGTGGAGGTAAGTGGAGGAGGCTTTCCTACAGCAAACCTTTTCAAAGGCTTGTCCGGCGATCAGTTATAAAAACTAGAGCTCTTTGTGTGAAAAGGTAGTGTGGACTGAAATAAACAACTTTGCACAAGTTTAGCTTCAAGCTCTAAATAAGGGCGCTAAAGTGCAAAGCACCTTGAGTGACGCCGCCCACGTGGTAGCTGTCTTATCTGCTGTCTTTTTCGTGTACGCACCCTATCGCTACTCTCTCTCTCTCTTCTCCTTCTTCGAATCTTCGAATCGCCAATTCACTGCTTTTGGTGGAAGAAGAGGGCAATATCGAGCAGTTTTCGATGCCGTTTCTCTGTTTCTTCGTGGCAAGTAACTAACACAGCGACTCGCATTTGTTCAATCTCGGCTATCCTACGAAGCTTTGCGATGGCTTGTGCTAAGATGTGCCTCATCTTTAAATTCGGTATCTTCACACATGCCGTGCGCAGCAAAAGCGCGGCAAAAGCGGCTCCCACGCGCGGCATTCGCACCAGTTCCAGAATCAATAAACATGGCAGTGCTGCAATGTTGCAGTGCAATGTGTCAAGTTGAGTAGCTGGACAATAATATTCCAATTTGAGAGCGCTGTTGCGGCCCCTGAAGCTAACGATGTACAGCTTACGCTATTCACAAGTAGGTAAGGCCAAGAAAAATCCACTTGACCTTCGACCCTATAGTCCACGCCTTTCAGCATGCACTGGGCAGACCGCATTTATCTTCTATTAATAATCGTCAATGAGGCCATCAAAAGGAGGAAAGGCCTCAACAATCGCTTTAGTTGTTCGACATACCAAGCCATCAGTTTCGCTCCAATCTGTAGGGGAAGCTTGAAATGATTTCTTGCCACACCAGAGATGTATCAGCGAGTCCTAAGAACCATACAGGATACGGTTCACTTCATCTATGTGTATATGTGGGACTCGGTCAAAAGATGTCCCGGCGAGGACACGGGTACTTCCGCAGATCACCGGCTTGCAACACTTTAAGTACGTGATACCTAGAATGCACGACTCGCTGCCAGCCCAAATATCTCCTCCTTCGCTCACGATGCCACAACAAAAAGAACGGATTCAGGCGAACCATTTGCAAATGTCGGACTTCACTCAACACAAGTGCGTACATAACCTTCATGGCACTATTTTTGTCATTTTGTTAGTGCACCCGGCCCATGGCCAATGACTCAGCAGCGACAGATGGCCCTTAATTCTGTTGTTTTCTCGGCACCACTCAAGTTGCGTAACGATAATGTCGGCAATGCTGTAAATGCTGCTTCGGATTGGATACAAATGCAGAGTAGAGAAAGAAAGCCCCTGTTTTTTAAAACCAGATGAAACCAGAAAATTAAGGCGTGGGAAATTCTTGAAGCCATTTTAAAGAAATATGTAGGAGTGGTGCTTGGAAAAAATGTAGGTTACCAATCGATTATCCGAAATGTTCTGTTTTTTTTCAAACCGCCGCAACTGTTCGAGTTCATCATAAAGTGGAGAATGACGGACTCACAACAGCCGATACTCAAGCTCGGGTCTGTAGCGTTACTTTCGATCGTTTCTGCTGTACTTTCTTGATACAGCTCAACGCAGCTATTCCTTTAAAAGTACCCACCACAGGACCAGCTCCAATAACGTCCTTTTAAGCCGGCTTAGGACATGACCCAACCTGCTGGAAGCCAGCCGACGGCTGTTTCAAAGTGTAAGGCCGAGAAGTGGCTCGTTGTAACGGCTCGCACGCTACATGATTGCAGAGAGTTAGAGGAACAGAGAGCCGACGAGGCATGTGAAGGTTCAATAAATTAAACAGCAGATTTGATTCATTGAACTGCTCGCTCACCAGTCGATTGGCTATCCGTGACCATGGGCACTGCAGGCCGATGTGATCCCGGCTGATCTTGTGGTTCAGTTAATTTGCCGGGAAAGGATGACATCACAGAAAGTTGTTTGTCACAGTTTTTGTCATACATTGCTCATTTCTTACAAATTCCTAGCAATTTCTTATTTGGTGGCAGAGGTGAAAAGGAGACTGAACGGCTTTCGGGGGGTGGGGGCTCCCGCTCCCTAGCCAATCCTTCGACTAGTTGGTGGCAGGCTTCTTCAAGAGGAAAAGACCTGCACATCACCTGATCCCGAGAATTCCTTGGATGGCCGAAATCATATCGTAATACAGCGGCAAAAAAGTGACCGAGAGTATAAGGCATGGCGCATCCTCAATGGGATTGACCCTAATCGAAAACTCAACCCCCTTTTGTCCCTGTAGGTGGAGATTGAGCAGGTCTGGGAGGTAGTCATGGTACTTCTTTCTACCGGGTCTAGTCAGGCTTCTTGGCAAACGCTAGGATTGTTTCATTGAGAAGCATCTCATTGAGAAGCGTTAGTAGGACCATTCAATTGTCTGGACGGTTTAAAGGAACATTCTGCGATAAAACATGGCTATAACCCTGGAAATAAGTCAGGCAATCTGATAGGCGATTTTCGAGGCTGTAATACATTGAAAAAAGAAAAGTCAGGAATTTTCGGGGTTTGAACAGCGAAGCCCATGTGCACCGCTTGGACCCATAGCATGCCTCTAGCCACTAGCTGCTAGCTAGTAGCTCCGCCCCCCCCCCCCTACAAGGTCTTCCCATTCCGAGTGGTTAGAGTGAGGGAAGAGGAAAAAAGGGCCGATATCATTACGATAATTACAAGTGGGAAGTCATGCAAACACGCCTTCTCTCCATTATATGCACGTAGCACGTATCCCTGCAAGCGATAGAGGCGTGCTAAGCGGCGCGTGGTGCAGCACACCAAGACACCATTTTTCCACTAATTATACCATCCTGAGCCTGCAGAGTCCACAACAAGGTGGGAAATATGTCCTATTGTGCTCTAAGCCATGCCACCCGTCAGACGCTATACAAAGTCTGGGATGGACAAGCGGTGCTATATAGGGCTCTTCAAAAGACTTTTTTCTGTTTTCCCCTCACTGTTCAGTCATTTAGCACCTGGTCGTACGTACTTGAGACCTCCACTTTCCACCGTCTTTGATCACGAGCTCTGCCTTAAAAATGGAGGAACAGCTGAGTTGGCGACGTCGGAGACACATCACATGGGTGTCGAATGTCAAAATTTATTTTATGAGAAAAAAAAACTGACGACAGAGAAACCCAACTAAAACTAGCGCATTATGCGAGCTTGTCCTTGTCATGGTTGTTGACATGGCGGTGGCAGTTGGAGGAAAGAACGTGAGATGAATGCATTGCTAAGAGAAAAGGGTCATTCACCGACGAAGACCCACATATTTTGTAAGCTTCTCTGCTTCAAGACGTAAATAACCTTTTTGTACATTCCCCTAGAATTCGAACAGCGCATATTTTACATGTCGCATTGCGGACCGGTGGGCCGTGTCAGCCAGTATGAGTGTGCACACTGTTGAAGCTGTTCTCAGCCTTTGTTGAAATGCGTATGCGACAAAAAGTGGTAGAAAACGAGTAATACGAAGGATATAATACAGTAATGTCACTTGCCCGCTTCAACAACTGGTGCAGAACGACTTTGGCACCGCGCCAAACGCAGCCGCACTGACACGCCCCACCGGGCCGCAATGATGAGGACTGTACCTACGGCTGTGAAAGTTTGAGTGAGTATACTATGCGAAGTGATGAATCTTTACTCAGAAGCGCGCCATGCACATGAGTTTCTCTTGACTTTGTTGGCCTAAAGCCCAGCGAGGGTCGTATTTGGGGCGTTGACGGAGGTGTAACCCATCTCCCACCGCTCGACGCCAAAATTCTAAGAAAAGGTAGTAGCTTGGGCTGGAAAGGGGTTTGTACCGAAGGAACAATTTTGAAAGTAGCTTATGTACGGCCATGATTTTTTAGATGCGTGGACCGCAATTACGGAACTGGATCGGCGAGCACGCTGTGGAAAGGCGCGATGCCTAGTCCGTTCCCCAACTATTTGTAGAAGTGGCGAGTCGCCCACAAAACCTTGGAAGAGACTTTCCTGGCGCCGCGGTCAAAGCCCACCGACGCCAACGGGCAAGACGCTCTAGTGTTGCAAATTTTACTCAATCATTACTCACAGAAGTAATCTTTTCAGGAGCATTTCTCATCCCTTATGTGATCTCATTGATATTCTGTGGTGCACCGTTGTTCATTCTCGAAACGACATGGGGTCAACTGCTATCTGTTGGTGGACTTGGAATGTTCAAAATTTGTCCGATTTTTAAAGGTAATTAAGATTTATCATCTCACAGCCGAGAATACTTTTAATGTGACAAATAACTTATTGTTTTTCAATCCATCTAGCAGGGCCGCTTATTCTTAAACTGTTCTGCTAATGAGCCAACTAATTTGGGGCTTTAGATATTAGCCAAGATCTCGCCCAAGTTTTATGCTCTATTGTCTTGAGACTTATAGCCCGATGATCGTAGAAGGAGAAAATATTCAGCCGGGCTTTTCTTAGGCCGAGCGCCAACAAAAGGATTAGAAGTGCAAAAGCGGGACTTCCGATTCCCAGGAATATCTTGAGATTCTTCTTTGATGAGAGTTTCAAAGAAGTGCCTGGCAAAGGAGCACTTATTAATAGAGTGATGTCGCTGTGAGAAAGCTGGATGCACACACTCTCGGAAAGGCGCTCCATGGTTGGATGGAGAAGTCCGACCTATCAATTGTGTCTTCTTCATTGATCATTTCTGATTTATAGTCCAATAGGAAGGCCACATTGCATGCAGTGTAAACCGCCAATAAGCACGGGCTTGACCGCGCCTTGGACGGCTGCTCAGGCTTCTCGTGACTAGCTCAGATCAGCCAACCCAGTGCGCCTCCTACTGTTGATAATTTCTTGCCAAGAATCACGCCTTTGGAGATTTCCCCTTCTACGTGCGAGCCTACCCTCTTTCCCATCCCCCACCCCTACATACCATATTCCCCTGAATTTTCACGATTTTCCCAACTCGACTCGACAAAATTTTTCGTATTCCTGCTTCTCAAAAACCAAACACTTTTAACCCCAAATAGAACTCCCCCTCTCGCTGGGGATCCCAATGTGTGACATGCTCTGCTGCCAAATTTTAAACAGCATGCTGACTGCTTAATCAAGTTCTGTGGGTGTTTCATTTGAGATGCTCTCGATTTGTAAGTCAATATCATTCTATCTGAAATTTTGTAACATTTTGTTATTTTATGTCTTTTCATTTTTTGTTTTTTGTCGTATTTTTTGCCATCTTATAATCAGAGAAGGTTGCGCCTCACATGCGGTAGTTATAGCTTTTGTGGGGATCTGGCGGAACAGCTAGGACGACCATCTCCACCAATTATTGCGGGCTCAGGATGGCATTATTTAATGGAGAAGGCTGCCCTGCGTGCGTTCAACCCACGCTCCCTCACACGCCCTTGCCTTTGCAGAGGCTAGGACTGTACATGAACAGCAATCGCTGAGTTCTGTATATTTTGTGTAGAATAAGGATAATATTACGGTTCTTGATTCACCCTGGTGTCAACTATTCGATGGTGGCGGCCCATAAATGATGGCGCCCTTTTCTTACATAACATCTTGTCAGCAAAGCGAAGAATTCCCAGTGATTTCCTGGGCGTTTGACGGATAGTTTCCTGTTTTTTGAGAAGTTTGTTCAGCTTGTCTCTCCCGATTTTTGTCGATTTTAAGTTTAAAAAATGGAGTATCCAGTCGACACGGATCATTTTGAGATAACTTCCTTGTGCTCCTTATCTAGGGTGCTCAATTCGTAGGATCAGCTCAGAACCTAACACAGGAACGGCGCTTTTCAAGGCGGCTTGGAGTTGGTTCAAGCGATACAGAGCTAGCACCTCTTATTGTCAGTGTAAAACCACGGAAACCGTTGTTGACTCATATTGGCACTCTGAATGAGAAATGATGTTTAGCCGCCAGATTGGAGTATTACAACCTGTAAAAAAAGAAATAATGACTGTGAGAAACTTCCAATTCGGAGCGATCAACGTGCAAATGGCTTGAATTTTCGGAGCGGAGCAAGCAAAATTTCAAAAAAAGAGTGCCAGTGCGTTCCATCTAGGAAATTTGCTCCTCAGGAGGTGCACCCCGTCGTTCAGCGACTTTCCCAAATTGATTCATTGAATGAGAGCAGTCCATAGAATTCAATATTGCTGGGAAAGGGTTCAACAACAATAAACCAACATTCGAAATAAAATAGGAAAACCCTGTCAATAGTCAAGCATAGCCAACCTACCGCGTTAGCAAATTAAGTGCAATTTAATCCTCTCAACAGTATTTTCAATCGGTTCACATATATCCTCGGAAAACCGACAGTCGTGATCCCTGATAGGGTTTGTGAAGGGGCGCGGCTTCTAGCGGAGCCTGACAGA